TCAGTGTCAAACCAGTTCACAGCTTCCTGTAGGACAACAATGGCAGGAAAGTCAAGCAATGCTGTTTAACTTTTAGGTATTGAGACTATGTTTGATGATTTGCTTCCACTTCTGATTCATGAGCATTTAGACTTAAGCCTCCAGGTGTTTTCAGAACAGCGCTAGAGTTACGCCTGTAACAGCTATAAGATGAGATATAAGATTAACCCCCAAAATGAACCCAGATTAAAGAGGTTCATTAAAAAACAGTCAGATTTGTTTCTATTGTATTCCATATAATCCAATCATCCACCACCACCTGACAATGAGGGAAAAGAAAAAGGAATCTAAAAAACTGATTATTTGAGCACCTGCTGTACTGCGACTGCACAACTACGGCCCGCAGGCATGGATGGACTGGGAATCCAGGGCTGGTGACCAGCCTCATTCATTACTCACACAGGTTAATCATCTCTTTATCTCAAGAAATCAATTAATGGTTTAAGCGTGATAACGAGATAATTATGTCATTATTTGAGAAGGTAAAGGAGAAAAAGAACAGTCCAGTATGACCACTCTAGGCTTCCGTAGTATCAAAATTGATGCACATAAATGATCTAATTAAACTAAACATTTTTTTTTATTGGTTAGAAAATTCAATGACAATTATGATTTATTTAAAAAATATAATTTTCTGTCCACGTTTCATAGTCCAGGTATTTTTAATATTATTTATCGCAATTTGAACTTTTTGCTCTGCTTCTGTTTGACGTGTTCAGAGATGGGACCAGTGATCGGGGCTCCGGCTGGGAGAACCAGCCGTCTTTGTTTTTTTTAAAGCATGTCTTCAAGCTATCACCTTGAAATGGTCAAACAAATCACAGCAACAAAGATTACGCTCCTCTGACTGAGGTCATTTTTGGCCTGTAACCTGTTCTGTGGAGAGGAGGAAGAAGTGCAGACGGGGCTAGCAGATCCGTGTTGAGGAGAAAAACTGCATCATCAGTGGCTGCTGCTCCCCACAGGAAGTGAACTGAAATGGTTCATAGTTATGTCGTTATCTCGAGAAAGCAAAGAAAAAAAAAGTCCAGTACGACCTCTCTTGGCTTCCGTACTCCAGTAAAGTATAGTCGGCAGAAATTTCTCCTGAAGTAACAAAGTTGTCAGGATTTGGTTTAGGATAGTCGACCCAAAGCAGAGGGGCAGGCAGAGGTGAATTATAGTAGATTTAATGAAGGGTTGAAAGAACAAAGTCCAAAACAAACAAGCAACCAAAAATCCAAAAATGAAAACAAAGTTCAAAAAACAAACAAGAAACCAGGAGTCAAAAATTCAAAGATAAAAAAAAAGAAAACTCAAGTCCAACTTTACCAAAAAAAAACATGGAGTCATCAGGAGAAGAACAGTAACCAGGAGGAAGGCTCAGAGACGAGTTGGAGGAAGACAGACGAGGACCCAGCAAAGAAGAACAGAACAGAGAGAGTATTTCTAGGTGACTGAAACAAAGAGAGGGTTAACGAGCAGATTAGGAGCAGGTGTGAGCAGAGCAGAAACAAGAAAGGAGCAAGAGAAATAAGGAGAACTCAAGAGGGCAGCAGAGGGCAACAAAAAAAACCCCTGAGAACTCAAAATAACCAGAAAAAACAAAATAAGAATAAAACCACTAACACTAGAAAACAAGGAGTAAAGCTAACTGAACACTAAAAGAAAAACATAACAGAACCAAGACTGAGACAGTAACTGAGAAAAACCCAAGGAACACAACAAAATAAGAATTAAAACATAAAAAAATATAAAACAAAGAGCAAACCTGAATATCAAAAGAAAAACATAACAGAAACCTAACAAAATTATTTGTACTTTGATAATTGAGACTTCTGCCAAACAACCAATAAACACAAAGAATTTAGTTTCTTGCTATGAGCAGGTGCAAATATTGATCCTTACTGACGAGTTGCAGCATTATTTTGCATTTGATTCTGTTTCTCAAGATAAAACAAAAACACCTACAGAGTTGTAGATGGTAATAGCTGTAGGGAGGGAGGATCTTGTGAGGGAACGGAGAAGCCTTTTGGCTGAAAACAACATCCACCCATCCATCCATCCACCCATCCACCCATCCACCCATCTATCCATCCGGGGTCGGGTCGTGGGGGTAGCAGCTTCAGTAGGGAGGCCCAGAAGTCCCTCTCTCCAGCCACTTGGTCCAGCTCCTCCGGGGGAATCCCAAGGCACTCCCAGGCCAGCAGAGAAACATAGTCCCTCCAGCGTGTCCTGGGTCTCCCCCTGGGCCTCCTCCCGGTGGGACGTGCCTGGAAGACCTCACCAGGGAGACGTCCAGGAGGCATCCTAAACTCGAGCCACCTCAACTGGCTCCTCTCGATGTGGAGGAGTAGTGGCTCTACTCTGAGTCCTCCCCGGATGACTGAGCTCCTCACTCTATCTCTAAGGGAGAGCCCAGACACACTACGGAGAAAACTCATTTCAGCCGCTAGGATCCGGGATCTCGTTCTTTCGGTCATGACCCAAAGCTCATGACCATAGATGAGGGTAGGAACGTAGATTGACCGCTAAATCGAGAGCGTTGCTTTTTGCCTCAGCTCATTCTGAACCACAACAGACCGGTACAGCTCCCGCTTCACAGCAGACGCCGCACTAACCTCCTATCGATCTCCTGCTCAATCTTCACCGAATTTGTGAACAAGACCCCAAGATACTTAAACTCTTCCACTAGGGGCAGCACATCCTCCCCAACCCGGAGGAGGCACTGTATCCTTTTCTGGCTCAAGACCATGGTCTCGGATTTGGAGGCACTGATCCACATCGTGGCCGCTTCACACTCGGCTGCGAACCGCTCCAGTGAGAGCTGTAGATCACGCCCTGATGAAGCCAACAGAACCACATCATCTGCGAATAACAGAGATGCAATCCTAAGGCCACCAAAACAGATCCCCTCAACACCTTGGCTGTGCCTAGAAATTCTGTCCATAAAAGTTATGGAAAGAATCAGTGACAAAGGGCAACCTTGTCCGAATCCAACCCTCACCGGAAACAAGTCCGACTTACTGCCGGCAATGGTAAATGGCATGTACTTATATAGCGCCTTTATTCAAGTTAGGAGACTTGACCAAAGCGCTTTACACTACATTCATTCACACACACATTCACGCACTGATGGTGGCAAGCTACATTGTAGCCACAGCTGCCCTGGGGCTCACTGACAGAAGCGGGGCTGCCATACACTGGCGCCACCGGGCCCTCTGACCACCATCAGTAGACAATGCAGGTAAAGTGTCTTGCCCAAGGACACAACGACACTGAAAGTCGGAGTCGAGGCAATGCAGACCAGGCTCTGACGCCGGTCTCATAGAGATCTAACAGCCCTTATTAAAGGGCCAGGTATTCCATACTCCCGGAGTACCCCCCAAAGGACCCCTGATGGACATGGTTGAATGCCTTCTCCAGAGCCACAAAACACATGTAGACTGGTTGGGCAAACTCCCATGCATCCTCCAGAATCCTGCCAGGACGAAAACAACACTGCTCTTCCTGAATCCAAAATTCGACTATCCGACGGACCCTCCTTTCCAGAACCCCGGAATAGACCTTACCAGGGAGGCTTAAGAGTGTGATTGCTCTGTAGTTGGGACACACCCTCCGGTCCCCTTTTTTAAATAGAGGGACCACCACCCTGGTCTGCCAATCCATGGGAACTGCCCCTGATGTCCTCGCAATGTTGCAGAGCCGCATTAACCAACACATCCCCACAACATCCAGAGCCTTAAGGTACTCTGGGCGAATCTCCTCCATGCCTGGGGCCTTGCCACCGAGGAGCTTTTTAACCACCTCAGTGACTTGAGCACCAGAGATGGGTGTCCAGGAGGGGCACTCTCCAGTACCCCCCATAAAGACTCCAAAAATGGTGGGTAATCTGAACTACTGTTTGGCACATAAGCACAAACAACAGTCAGAACCTGTCCCCCTCACAGGTATGCGGAGGGAGGCCACCCTCTCATTCACCGGGGTGAAGGGTCAACAAGTACTCCTGCTCGGCGCCTCTCACCAGGGGCAACTCCAGAGTGGAAGAATGTCCAGCCCCTCTCAAGGAGACTGGTTCCAGAGCCAGAGCCATGCGTCGAGGTAAGTCCAACTACCTCTAGCTGGAACCTTCTAACCTTGTGCACTAACTCAGGCTCCTTCCCCACCAGAGAGGTGACATTCCATGTCCCAAGAGCCAGCTTCTTAGCCGAGAATGAAAACACTCTGGAGTTATTTAACAGTCTACTGAAAAAGAGGTCCATGGATTTTCATAATGTTCTTCCTTTTAAGAAGCACTACATTTATTTTATTTTTCGGTTGTTCTTCTAAATGTTACAAAACATAAATCTTGGTGGATTTAGAGTGAAGCACATTCAAGTTCTCTAAAAAAGCGATTGTCATGTTTTCCACCATTCTTCATGTAATTGATCAGATCTAGTCCTCTTCAGATCTTCCACAGCAGATCAAACCTTCATCACTGCTGAACCTTCACTGCAGAATACATCACATCTGTTAAGACAAACATCAAACCTGAGTCAGTGTGTCTGCAGAGAACTTTGAAATAAAAATAATGAAGACTTAGAGCCTGTGAGGACGGTGGAATGGGCCCTCCAAGCAAGGGTTGATAGAAGGACCAGGAGAGATAAGAAAGAGATAAGCAGTTGTAGCTTCCTCAGCCTCCCTCCTGGTATGAAAGGACACATCTTTTGTGAAATGTTTCATCTGGCTAGTGAAAGACGTATGTCCTTGATGGACTGACTGACTATTTGACTCAAATTTGCATTGAATTAGATGCATATTTGTGAGTGACACGAAGACATGGAAAACAAATTCGTATCCAGCAATTCATTTTAATACAAAATAACAAGCTTTGCTGAATAAAATAAGTATCTTAAATATAAGCCTTTCCTGCTTAACTACAAACTGTAGAAATTAGGATAAAACAATAAATAAATAGTGCACATTTTTGGTGCAACAGTAAACTTGTGCAAACTGCCTTGAAGTCGTAGGGAAGCGGCTTTTCCATCCGTTGCATTTCCAAATTCTCTCGAGTGGTGCCCGACTTTACACGAGTGAATAAATTGAATGTGATTGGTCGATTATCAAGGGGGCGGGATTGTTGTGGTGGAAGGTTTGCAAGCATGTTTGGTTGTGGCCGGTTTGTCGGAAGCATCTTGCTAACCAGTTAGCAACTTAGTGCTAGCAGGTTCCCAATGGGAAATTCCATTGGGACCAAGTAGCACTAAATTGGTGATTTAGAAACGACGCTGTCAAGGAACGCTATGGACAGCGGAAACATGCAAGAGGAGGAGAGTTTAGTGTCGGAGGTCGTGGATGAGTCTCCTCCGTCATCCATTTTTTATTTAGAGGAGGAAAGCGGGGACGAAGATGTTGTGGAAGAGGACGCCAGGGCGGCAGAAGCTTGGTTTGGTGTAGAAGGCTTCCAGCCGTACATGTTTGAGCCCTTGCCTCGCAACGCTGCCAGTTCTGTTAGCTCTACGCCTGCCGAAGACACAGACGTCCATCCCCGTGAACACTGGGACGCAACTCAATGGGAAAGGAAAGGATTCTGGTTTCAACCGTTGCGTATATTAGCTGCGACACATGAATCAAGATGCTATGACCGAAAACATTTGATTGACAGATGAGCGTTGATATATGATTGGCCGAATTTAGGTGTTCAGGCTGACGTAGAACTAACTGGCCTGGATAAAATAACGAAGAAAAAAAAAGATTTTAAAGACAGGATTTTTTTTTAAATAGATATTTTCTAACTTTTGGGACAATATGGTCTGATAAGGAGTATATCTATATACATGTTTAAGCCAAAATGATTTGACATTTAAATATGATTTCCCTACGACTTTAAGATTAGTGTAAGATTGATAGAAGAGGAGAAGACTAATAGAAAGACGATGGAGTGAGAGTGGAGGAAAGTAGGAACACTGATGGAAAGATCAGTTGAAAAGAAAGAAGAAAAATCTACAGCAGGTAGAAATTATCTACAAATAAAAGAGGATGGAGAGAGAAGAGAAAAATGTGTAGAAATGGATGAAAGAATCACCGTCCCTGATTCCTTTTTTTATTCTGATGTGTATTTATTTTTATCTATGAGCTGGAAATTTCCCCAGATTGGATTTCAGAAATGTAATCACATTACTCTGATGCCTTTCTTTTGTGGATAACCCGGCCAGTCAAAAAAAAAACAACTGGAGCAGATTTTCCCACTAACTTTTACAGTAGTTTAGATTCTCTTAAAATCAAATCAACCCAAGGATTAAAACTCATCCAATCCACACCACCAAACCCGTTTCTGTTTGCCTGCCCTGTTTACACTACGGCTGGTTGCTGGAACTGTCAGCTCACCTGTATCTACGTGATGCTGGTTGCTCTGCATGGAGTTTACCTGTGAAGCTGACAGACAGACACCGATTACACATCCGCAAATTTTCTTCTAATGAAGTTCTTCATGTATGGTTTTAATTGCTTCCTGCTCTCAGTATCACAGCTTTAAAATATTTAAATCTAAATCTTCTTAAAATAAGTGTATTGTTTCTTAAATTGAGGATGGAAGTAAGACAAAAAAACAATAGCATTGTCTTATTTCAAATACATATCTAATTATCTTGTTTTAAGAGTAAAATTACAAATCCATTGACAAATCATCTTATTAACCTGCTCAAATTAAGGGTAAATACACTTAATTTAAGACATGTTTACGTATTTCTAGATGGTTTTTGCAGTGTGGAATATCTCTGTTCAATGATGCTCTGAGATGATTTATCTGATTCATCTTTGCTGCAGCTTCAGCTCTGAGCTAAAACTGGTTATTTCTGGTGTTTATGAACAGACTGGACTCACAGCTGATCTCTGAGTAAACCGGCTGAAGTTCTGCTCCATCAGCTGGAGGATCTGAGAGACGCCGCCGTCGATGGTTTCCTTCACAGACCCACAGAGACATCAGAGATCAGATCAGAGGTCAGTCGGTAAACTTAGGAAGCAGAATTTGGACCAAGCTTCGGGATTTATTGGACGGCAGGATCTGAACTCACTGAGGCAGATGATGAGGATGCAGATGAAGACTGGACACAGCAACATCAGTGCAATGGCACTAACCACGATCACGATCATGGTCAGAGTATTACTGTCTGGGAAGCTCCTCTCTGCATGATCCTCGCTGTTCTCCGCCCTGCAGGTGACCACCTCCTCCCCCTGCTGCAGGTATGGGATGCAGCCCTTTAAGCTCCACTCTCCAGACTTAAAGCTGTGGCCCTGGTTCTCTAAAAGACGCTTCGAGGCCGACAGCCAGACGACTTTAGGCACCGGATGGCCTTCAACTTCGCATATCAGCCATCGGGAGGCGCTGCTGGAATGACCGCAGGTTGAATTCACCACTGAGAGACTCAAGATGTGAGGCGGAGCTGGAAAACAGTGAAAGAAATCATAGAAATGTGTCGTCAGAGATCTGCAGCATCTGGGAAACAGCTTCAGGAGGAAAACAGATCAACTTTGAACCAGATGGGTTCTTGTTACAGAATCCAGGATTTAAAGAGAATCGGTCTGTTTAAGAAGAAATGAAGAAGAGGTTAATCTATGATGATCATCAAAACCACAAGAGGAGTCCTCAGGACCACACCTGCTCCACAGCCTGAACTCGCCTCCACAAGAGGTTTTTCAGCCCTTCCCATTTGGACGGGACAAAAACACCTCAGATGATTAAAGTTTACTAGGACTTTCCAGCCTAAAGGTCTGGTTATCCTCCCCCAGCAGTGTGCTGCAGATATTTTTGATTTATGCTCAATATTGAAGCGTGGTCTGCGCTATGTTATTCCACGCCACAACGCCAGAGGGCCAATCAGGAACTAGCTGTGGGTCTAGATACGGCCGAGGCGGTGAGGAAGCAGGGGCAAATTTGTGCAACAACGGAGGGACATGAGGGCCAAAAAGAGCAGAGATCCAGGTGGAAAAAGGGTCCCAGCGTTCTCGCTCACCTCGCTCAGCTAGCTGCTCCATCTTCAGTCATTTTGATACAAACAAAACAGGCTGGTAAGGTACCAAACAGGAAATATGCTTAGTGTACACTGTCTGCAGCACCGTCTACGGCAGGGGTCACCAACATGGTGCCCGCGGGCACCAAGGGGCCCTCAAGGACCACAAGGGGTGCCCTTAGAGTCTTCTGAAAATAGAACAACACAGCTATGTTTGAAATTTCATTGTATTCTGTCGCTCTTCTTTTTTTTATTTGGTTATAGGACATTTCATCATTTAATCATATATGGCATTTCAGCATTTATAGCGATTTCAAAATGGAAATGTCTAAAAGAAAATTATAAATTTAAAGAAACGATAAAGATATGTATATAATATATGAAGTTTAGGTGAACATTGACCCTTGCCATTCATAGGTCTGTATTGGTAGCCCTTCCTGTGACTCAGTGCCCCTGAATTAGCCCTCAGCTGTAAAAAGGTTGGTGACCGCTGGTCTACGGTCACCTACAATTTTGGTGCTCTAAAAATGAATTAAATTGAACTATAGTGTCTACAGCCCTACATAGTAGTGACCTTAAATGCCTTTAAAGCAACAATGTGCAACGTTTGGCCTCTAAGGCAAAGGCCTCTAAGGAAAGGTCCAGGTTTAACTGCACTGTTGTAAAACGAACCAAACTCACTCAAAAACCAGAAGACAAGGAAACATTCAACCCTCCAAATCCTACATCAGAGAATCAGAGAATATGTCTGATCCCAACTGTTTTGTTGCCTAACAACAACTTTTAGCTTTGTTAACTCCAACAAGAAGGTTAAGTTTTTATCAGCGTTGGTTTCCTGGTCCGTTTTCAAAATAAAAAAGTTACAGATGGATTTTGCTTTGCTGTGGATTTTTAGAGAAGGTTCGTAGTATGACTGACAGTGAATGATTAAATATTGGTGTTGATCCGGATAACCATGTCATGATCTGGCCTGTTTGCTCCTCTCTAATTAGTCATTCCTCTCACCTGTCATTTTCCCTCCCTGCCTCAATTATAATTTATTCCTCTCACCTGTTTCCACTGGTTTATATTCAGTTCAGCCTGAGCATTCAGGGCCAGATCATTACTTGTCTTTCTGTCAGTCTGTCTGTTAGTTTTGTTCCTTGGTTCGTGTCTTGGATCGTAGCAGCCAGTGGAAAGAGGGTTTTTGTGTTTTCCTCCCCTGCGGAGTCCTCTGGGTTTTTGGCTCATTATGGGGGGAGGTCCAGTTTTTATCCAGTAAGCCTGGCTCCAGGGAGGAGACCAGTTTAAAGTCCTGCATCAAGTTCTGGTTCTACGTCCTGTCTCGGCTACCCTTTTCCACTGAGCCTGCCTGTCTGCACCTGATCCTGTCTGCTCCTGTGAAAGGATCACCACCTGGTCATGCTTCTGGTCCCAGTCAGACTCTGAACCCTCCTGGAAGCCTGTGGATCCTGCTACCTGTTACCTGTTTCTGTTCCTGCCTGATCTGGATCCTGCCTGTTCTGGATCCCTGACCAGGATCAGCTTCCAGCATGTCCTCTGGGACTGCAGCACTTGGGGACATTCTTGGTCTGGACTGTTAAACCAGGTAAGTGAGCAACTCAGATAATCATCTTCTGTCCGATGATCGTGGTCACTTACCTGTGTATCTCCCACTACAGAGTGTCTGAGATTGGGCGGTATTAACTGTAGGTTTGAAGGTACGATATGTCGGCAGGAGATGAGCTACTTAGCTACACGGCTCTCCAAGTGCTTTTCTAGTTTCCAAGTGCTGCATTTTGACCTGAAAAATCATGAAATATTTCACAAGTGAAGTTAATACTTGGGTCAAAAGTAAAGCAGCACCTAGAGCCACAAGATGATATGCCATATACTAGTTGGAATTGTTTTTCAATTGGCATATGCCGGTTCCAACGGACATATGCCGTTTTTCAAAACCGATATGCCAGATACCACTTTTGGCTCTCACTGTCACTCCAGAAGTTACACAGTATTGCTTTAATAGCTCCAGGCGATCCGTATAATTAAATTCAGCTTATTGACATAACTGCTATACTAGCAGTGACCCCAGTGGTCTTATAAGTGATCTTAACTGGCCCAATAGTGACCCTAAAGGTTTTATGGCTAAACGTAACAACCGCGGTAGTGACTTTAATGGCCTTAAAAGTGATCTTTACAATAATTTTACTGACCCTTAGTAGTGCCCTTAAAGATGTTTTTAGTGACATTAACAACCCTTCTTGTGACCCCTACTGCCCTAGTGATGATACTAGCAGCCTCATTGCTGACTATAATTGACCTATATTAGACTCTAATGGTCCCATTAGTGACCTGCCCTAATGATGATGCTAGCAGCGCTATTACTGACCTTAACAGTGACCCTTATGGCCTCACAGGTGATCTTAACAGTCCCCTTATACCCCTTTCCTACTGGCCGATAAAACCTGCTTAAACCCGGGAACAATCGGCTTTTAGCGGCAGTTGGAACAGCTCACTGATGCGTTTCTACGCGAGTAAAAAGATTCAAGTGACCCGCATTAAAATGGTTAAAATTTGATTAACATGGAGCAGCACTGTTGGGAGGGATTCTAATAGATATTAGAGAGAATCAATTAAGAACACTGACTACACCCTGGCTTCCTTACATGTTGCTCTCCATTGTTTACTTTCCTGATTTCTGTCGCACTCGTGACATCATCAAAGCTAACCCATAATTTTAGTGGGAAAGAGGCTTTAGTTCAGTTCAGTCTATTTATATAATGCCAGTTCACAACACAGTTCAACCAGATCATCCAGTCAACTGGATTCAGTTTTCCAACTAAGGAAAACCAGCTGATTGCATCGACTCATTGACTCTTCAGCAATCCCTCACACTAAGCATGCTTGTAGCGACAGTGGAGAGGAAAAACTCCCTTTGAACAGGAAGAAACCTCCAGCAGAACCACTCCTTTAAGTGACCTAAACAACCCTAGAAGAGACCCTGCCCCCCAAACACCAGACATCATGTAGACTTTAGGCTAAATCTGGTCTTTTCGTCATGGTTTTTATTTACCGTAGTTCAGAAATAGTCGTTGTGTTTGGTCAGTCTGATTATGTCCCACTTCAGTCCACATAGTTGAAAACACAGTTTTCTTTTCAACGATCTGAAAATTACGTCTTTTCACCTTTCACTTTTAAACCAAATGTGGAAGTTGTTTGGACTTAAAATATGCCATCTTTTTAACCAATTTTGCTTGGTGTGACCTGTTAGTTCCTGTTAGTGACCTCAACACCCCCATCATGGTGACTGACAGTTCAAACCAATAATCTGAACTGGAGGAGCCTTTTTAATCAGATCAAACATTTTTAGATCTTCTGCTGTTTGTATAAAAACATACCTTTCACATCGAGCTGAATCTTGTCTTGTAATTTTCTGTTTCCAACCAGCTCCACTTTACAGAAGAAGGTTCCTCCATCGTTCAGCTGGACGTTAGTGATGAGCAGAGAGAGCTCCCCCCTCCGAGGGTCTCCAAACAGGGAATACTTTAACACTGAACAGTCATGTGGTCCTTCCAACGTGTCGTTCCTAACAGAACATTCAAAGAATGGACTTTCTGCCTGACTTTTGGCCCATTTAACCGTGATTTTGTCAGAGTAATCCAGTCTGTCGGGATGGACAGAGCAGTTGAGGACTGCGTCTTCTCCCCTGGAAGCAGTGACCATCAGGGGAGTCTTCATCTTCCAGGCGACAGAGGCGGAGCCTGTGGAGGAGGATCAGAGACTGGCTGCAGAAACTAACAATATAACGATAAAAACTGGCCGCATTTTCCCACATGACATCAAAATGCATCCTTTGAAATCTGAAACACATTTGGTCACATGACCTTGAGTCCACTGTGTCCTCCGAATAATCATGCTGATAATAATTTATTATGAGATAAAAATTCTGAAACCAAAGCTACGCAATCATTTCACAAATAAAGATTTTGTAAACCAAATTGTAAACGAAATAAACTGAATCTGAGAAAATGTGTTTAAATGCATTAATATGATGAAGCTCTTTAATTCCCATTTAAAACCTTTATCAGATTTACATTTTTATCGGGTTTGTTTGATGCAATAATAATAATTATTTTCCCTAAACTGATGTTAAAAAGAATCTTGAAAGAATCATGTACTATCAGAAAAAAGTTCACAGCCGATTAGTTTATTCCTAGTTTTATTAATTTAACATAAAAAAGGGAATCACCTTTTTTTTTTTACCAGAATAAACTCACATAATTTTTCAGTTCAAAGTCGAAGAGCAGTAAAATAAACTTTTACATTTACAGACATTTAAGTATTCTTTATCAAATCTTGTGAGTTTCATCTCCACTTTAAATATTAATGTTTGAATCCGGTTAAACCCAAACTAACTGAGGGGTTGATCTTACCTGATATGATCAGAATCAGGGGGAAAAACAGAAACTGTTGGTCCATCTTCAGTTGGTTCAGTCACCAGAAAACCATCTGTCACTAAAATCTAGGAAGTGTCATTTAGAAACACGTTTCCTGTCGGCTGAAAAGAGGAAGAGGGAAAAAATTGCAAAACTTCTTCCTTTATTGGTTCACTGAGTGGTTGTGGTTTACTGTGTTTTAACTTTTAGTTAAATATAAGATTTAATTATCTATGTCGAGAAAATCCACCTTGACACAATCTGATATGACAATTCTATTCAGTTAATTTCTATACTGCCGATTCACAAACCAAGTCATCTCAAGGCATTTTACAGAGAAAAATCGAGTTTGTCCAATCAAATTAATTAAAAGTTTTCTATCTAAGGAAAACCAGCTGATTGCATCAACTCATTGACTCTTCAGCAATCCCTGACACTAAGCATGCTTGTAGCGACAGTGGAGAGGAAAAACTCCCTTTGAACAGGAAGAAACCTCCAGCAGAACCAGGCTCAGTGTGAGCGGCCATCTGCTGAGGCCCACTGGGGTTCAAGGAGACAGAAGCAGACATAGAAAAAGAAGCATAGATACAAAAGGCAACTGTCAACCAGCTCCACAGGCGGCCCCGTCCAGGAAACACACAGCCAGGCAGACGAGCTCCGAGCCAGCTCCCATGTCAGAGGATGAAGAGAGCACATCCAGTTAGTCACAGTCAGAGAAACAGGACTACACTGGAAAACAGGCCAAGCTCCAACATCTAGAAACAAAGGTGTTGATGGCAGCAGCACAGCTGATGTTTCTCTCCAGGATGGAGTCACAGCCAAACAGGAACAGACCAGATGAAGCTACTATGAGAAAAAGCAGAGAGAGCAGAACGTTAGAGATTGAACTAACAGATTCTGCAGAGTGGGAGAATAGAGATAGAATGATGAAAAAGGGGTCCCTATGTCCGCCTGAAGTTTTATGCTACGTTCAGACCACAAACGCTGGAAGCAGGAAAAAGGCTTCTGCTGCTTAATTTTTTATGCTAGTTGTTATGGCCTGGCTCTTGGGTCACAATAAAATAAAGGAAGCCACGCATGAGGATAACTTAAAGTGGGATTTATTTAACAAAAAACATAAATGGTTGGAGAGGAGAGGGAAAGAGAGAAGTAAGCGGCAGAGAAGAACAAGCTGAGCTCCTCCACGCTGGTCCGGTCTGAGCTGGGGTTGATCATCTGGCTTGGGCTGTGAAGCTTAGTTTTGACCTACAGGTGAGGAAGATTGGTGCTCCTTAAGAGGGAGCTGACATCAGTCTGGCCAGCTGCCTCAACTTCAATCAGCACCAATTAGAAGCTCTACACAGTCCAGATGTTTCTGCTGCTCCTGTGTTCAATGCAGAGAGCAGCTTTGCTATATTAGCTGTAATCAGCGGGTAGAAAGTAGTTAGAATCTATGTTGAAGTGAGAAAGTCCTCCTGAAAACATGGTCTGTGCAGTCAGTTCATCCAGATTACCATCCTGCCTTCAAAGATTATCTCTCTGTGGAACGGCCACCTAAGGCCCGCTGGCCTCTTGGGGGTTTTCCCCTCCTGTTGGTGGCGGCTGGAAGTAGATGTTAGCGTTTTTCAGGTCTGTGCTACAAACTGCAGGCAGCAGGATAATAAAAGCCAACATATTCTGCCGGCAGGTTTCTACATTTGAAGTTAATTTAGGCGTTAATAAACTGTTTCAGAGGAGTGATCATAGCGCTCTGCATCAGCAGTGCTGCATCTGACTCCCTGCCAGCTCCCAGATCAGATTCTCTCATTGGTTGATGAGGCACGACCAGCAGCTAAAGTTAAATTTTTCCAACTCCAGCATCTTCTGCTTTTGTAGCGCGTCCCGCGCATCAGATGCTCAGAGGCTCATGAGGTGCTGCTGCTGCTCTAAACGCGCTGCAGGACCTTTTGATGCACCTTGATGAGCGTCAACCATTGACTTTGCATGTAAAGTGGATGCTTATGCTGCTGAAAGAGCGTACGGTGTGAACAAAGCATAATCCTATAGCACCATAACTATAGACATACACTATATTGCCAAAAGTATTTGCTCACCCATCCAAATTATTGGAATCAGGTGTTCCAATCACTTCCATGGCCACAGGTGTATAAATTCAAGCACCTAGGCATGCAGACTGTTTTTACAAACATTTGTGAAAGAATGGGTCGCTCTCAGGAGCTCAGTGAATTCCAGCGTGGAACTGTGATAGGATGCCACCTGTGCAACAAATCCAGTCGTGAAATTTCCTCGCTCCTAAATATTCCACAGTCAACTGTCAGCTGTATTATAAGAAAATGGAAGTGTTTGGGAACGACAGCAACTCAGCCACGAAGTGGTAGGCCACGTAAACTGACGGAGCGGGGTCAGCGGATGCTGAAGCGCATAGTGCGAAGAGGTCGCCAACTTTCTGCAGAGTCAATCACTACAGACCTCCAAACTTCATGTGGCCTTCAGATTAGCTCAAGAACAGTGCGCAGAGAGCTTCATGGAATGGGTTTCCATGGTCGAGCAGCTGCATCCAAGCCATACATCACCAAGTGCAATGCAAAGCGTCGGATGCGGTGGTGTAAAGCACGCCGCCACTGGACTCTAGAGCAGTGGAGACGCGTTCTCTGGAGTGACGAATCGCGCTTCTCCATCTGGCAATCTGATGGACGGGTCTGGGTTTGGCGGTTGCCAGGAGAACGGTACTTGTCTGACTGCATTGTGCCAAGTGTAAAGTTTGGTGGAGGGGGGATTATGGTGTGGGGTTGTTTTTCAGGAGCTGGGCTTGGCCCCTTAGTTCCAGTGAAAGGAACTCTGAATGCTTCAGCATACCAAGACATTTTGGACAATTCCATGCTCCCAACTTTGTGGGAACAGTTTGGAGCTGGCCCCTTCCTCTTCCAACATGACTGTGCACCAGTGCACAAAGCAAGGTCCATAAAGACATGGATGACAGAGTCTGGTGTGGATGAACTTGACTGGCCTGCACAGAGTCCTGACCTCAACCCGATAGAACACCTTTGGGATGAATTAGAGCGGAGACTGAGAGCCAGGCCTTCTCGTCCAACATCAGTGTGCGACCTCACAAATGCGCTTCTGGAAGAATGGTCAAAAATTCCCATAAACACACTCCTAAACCTTGTGGACAGCCTTCCCAGAAGAGTTGAAGCTGTTCTAGCTGCAAAGGGTGGACCGACGTCATATTGAACCCTATGGATTAGGAACGGGATGTCACTTAAGCTCATATGTGAGTCAAGGCAGGTGAGCAAATACTTTTGGCAATATAGTGTAGCTAAGGATAACATGAGCCACTGTAACTATGAGCTTTATCAAAAATAAAAGTTTTACACTGACCCGTAGTACTCAACCCTGGAGTGTGAACAAACTGAAATCAATCAAATAGATACAATTTATACCAGTGTCTTTCTAAAAGAATATTATGGTCAACTGGATCAAATGCAGCACTGAGATCCAACAGGACGAGCACAGATACAAGTCCATTATCTGAGGCCATGAGAATATCATTAGTGACTTTCACCACAGCTGTTTCAGTGCTATGAAACTCTTCAAAAAGTTCATTATGGTGGAAGTGATTGCAAAGATCAGAAAGGAAGATTGGATATAGGTCTATAACTGACCAAGTCATCTGGGTCAAGAGACAGTTTCTTAAGCAGAGGTTTAATTCCAGCAACCTTAAAAGCTTTAGGTACATATCCCTGTAACAGAGATAGATTAATCACATCTAAAATGGAGGAGGAGATCAAACGGAATACCTCCTTAAATAAACTGGTTGGAACTGGATCTAACATCCAAGTTGACGGCTGATGAAGATAATTTTTTTACTTACTCTGAAAATGTAAGGAAATGCCACACAATATTATTCAATCTAACAAAATGTTACAAAATGCCACACGATCTGATACAATGTAAAAAAAATTTACAAAAGGCTGCAAAATTTTATTTCACATAACACAATGTAACTTAATGCCAAACAGTCTGATACAACGTATCACAATGTAGCAAAATGCGACATGATCTTATACGACATAACACAATGTAACAAAATGACACACAATCTGACACGACGTAACAATGTAACAAAACGTCCCACAGTGTGATACATTGTATGACATTTTGAAACATACTGATACCATCTGAAACAATGCAATCCACAGCTGTCTGATATAATGTTATACCTTTCAGTGTATTCTACTATAGAATGAGACATAATGAATGATAACATGTAATTTTATTTATCTGATCGCTCTGAGACACTAAAACCTTCATTTTAACATTAGCGCTACAGTACAGTTCAGTATCACATGCAATAGAGTGATGCACTCCAACAGATAAGCAAAGTACTATTTATTTACTTATTTATTTCAATGACAAACCTCAAGATGTACCATTTCATTTTCAAGATAATCTGTCCGAAATAATGCATAAGAATAAGCAACTTTAATATAAATCATAATCAGTCAATCCAAAATACAATACACAATGATTTACTACAGAAACATCCACAACATAGCAAGTATATCTCACTACAACACACACTCTGCATGGTACAAACACTTAACATAAAGACACAAAAATAGACAACGCATACAGATACAGTACATTGTCAGGATTGGGTTGAGGTTTGTGGACCCAAATGCAGAGACAGGGAGGCAGAGGTGAGTTCCTGGTGAATTTAATGAAGAGTTAACAAACAACTGAGGCAGGAATCCAAAGATTTAAAAATCAAACATGAAAACAAAGTCAAACAAACCAGAACCAGAAGGAGACATCTGGAGGAAAACAATCAGGAGGAGGACGACTCAGAGAGACGGAGTTGGAGGTAGTTTGACGAGGAACCAGCACTGAAGAACTGCACAGAGAGAGTATTTAAGGGAGAGTGAAACAAAGAGAGGAGTAAAGAGCAGATTGGGAGCAGGTGTGAACAGAGCAGAACAGAAAAGGAGCTATGGAAAAAGGAGAACACAAGAGGGCAGCAGAGGGCAAAAAATAAAGACTTGAATATAATCAGAAAACCCAACAAAATAAGAATTAAACCACTAAAACAAGAAAACATGG